GCATGTTTGGGATACGGTTTTCACCCTCGAAATGCAAAATGTTGCTTCAAGATTGAGTTTCATCGGCACTTGAAAATAGTAATAGGGGGGTGAAGTAGTCCGAACGTCTTTGATCACTTCACTTATCTTGGGAGTCTCATCAGCGCTGATAGCTTGGTGACTGAAGAAAATCTCAACACGCATACAAAAGGTTCGACTGGCTTCTGTCAACTTGCGTCATTTATGGCGTAGGCGAGATATCCGTTTGCTAACCAAAGGTCAGGTGTTCTGTGCAGCAGTTCGCTCCGTTCTATATGGATGCGAAACATGGCCGTTAAGAGTAGAAGATATTCGTAGGTTACTAGTATTCGATCATAGATATCTGAGAAGCATCGCTCGCATATCGTGGGACAACCGAGTAAGCAGTGCTATCGTTAGGAAATAAGTACTAGGTAGGCATGGCAAATCAATAGATGAAGTAGTGAAACTTCATCCGTTGAGGAGGTTGGGACATGTGTTACGAATGCCTAACCACCGACTGCCTCGACAAGCTATGTTTTGTGGTGTAGGAATAGGTTGGAAGAAAGTTAGGGACGGCCAGACCAAAAAATGGCAGAAATCCATGAAGTGACTGACAAGTGGACTGAGTCAGGTTGGTAGATGTAGGCTACGTGGTTGGGGTCCGCAAGATGGTAGTGACCGACAGTTAGAGACATGGTTCAAAATCGTTTGTAATGTCGCAGGTGCATTCTTTGTTTGTGTTCTCCTAAATTCCAATTTGAACTCCTCATCACCTTCATCTTTTTCTTTATAAGTTTACTTCACTCGATTATACTTCATGAATCATATCTTTGAACCCCTAATCTTTTTGATAACCACTAATACTTGTACTATGGAATTTGAATGGACAATTCAATCTCTCATTGTGCTAATGTGGTATGGCAACTTGAATTGATGTACGTACGTACTAAGTTCTAACTGACTGCCTTCAAAATGCATAATTTCATAACTATACAAATTACATAACAACTGTTTTATAAAATCATTTAGTGTGTACTGTCAATAAGAAGCTGTAAAGATCACTAGGATAATTTTAAAATGTTCATTTTCTTAAATCAATTTGTCAAATTGAATACAACATACAAAATTTTTTTTTTCTCCCTTTTTCTCTTAAAAAGATAGAATTATTTTGCAGAAAAATAAAGTTGAATTATTGCCATCATCATCATCATCATCCTTATCAACCAACATGATTGAATCTGTTGAAAATCAAATGCGTCATTTAATACAAGCTGATTGTATGCGTATTGTAGAAATGAAAAAATCGAATCATTTACTACTTCCTGATCAACAACAACAACAACCGCATTCTAATGAAGAATTGGAAGGTGCAATGATGCAGAATCATACAGAATTGATGCCTAAAACTCGTTTCAATCCGATTGGTGTTGATACCTCCAATTCCATTGAAATCGGTGGCGGTGACGGTGTCGGTGTCGGTGTGGATGACACCGAAGACGAATCGGATAGTGATCATTTAGAGGATATTGAAAATATTTGTGGATATGGAAAAAAGTAAATGCACTTGTTGTTTGCCTTTTTTGTGTTTGTTTGGTTTTCGACTTTTACCAGTCACTTGTAAATTTGTTGGAAGTAATCATGCTTCTTGTGATATATATATATATATATATTTTTTTTTTTTTTGAAACCATGAGTCGATCAATATTAGACCACCATTAGAGAACGGGAAGCGCTGGACGGCCATTTCGTCCTTGCATGGGACTCCTCCTGCTGGGTGCAGAAGTCGTGGATGCGCACTGCTGAGGAGTCCCATACCAGGACGAAACGTCCGTCCAGTGCTTCCAGGTTTCTAATGGTGATCTAACATTGATCGATTCATGGTTTCAAAAATGTGCAACCTAACAATCTTCTCGGCTGTCCACACCTTGGAAATGTGTTTCTTGAGCAATGTGGAATGAAAGTTGGATTAGTGTTTGACTTAGAGACCTGGGGGCGTGACCGCAGAGCCCAAGGGGACAACTGCTTGTTGCTGGTAGCGTACTGCCCTTTTATGGAAAATTTGCAGTGTTAGCTCCGTTTTCAAATGGCCTTTTCAAGGGAGACGTAAGTCCGTGATGTAGGGTGAGGTGTGAAATTTTTAGGGTCGACCTTTCGCAACCCCTTCCTTGCTTGTGAAAAGGCAGCATCGCTGCGGATGCGGAGGAAAACACGCTTCTCTACAGTTGGTAGTACGACTTCGCTCTCAGATCTTGAGTTGCTGATTTTGATCTTACCGTTCTCTAATCGACTTGCCTAGCATGGAACATGAACTAAAGGAACATTTTATTCTAAACAACATCGCTTGGTTGTGGGTGATCATGAAAGGCGACCCTGATCACAACGTCAAGGTAGCATCTACGGCTGGGGGAATTTTACTGAATCAATAAGTTGGATAAAGCATCCATAAACATAAGTCGAGTTCTATGTCTCTTATAACCCAAAACATATTAGACAGATAGACAGATACAGCGCAGAACTTCGTACATAAGTACATCAGTTCAGGTTGACATACCACGTCAGCACCGAGACGTAACTGTCAGTTCAAATCCAACAGTGATAGCGATAGTAGAATTATTAGCAGTAATGGAAAAGATTAGGGAGCGAAGATATGATTCGAGAAGTATAATTCAGTGACATAAATTTAGATAGGGAAAGACAGAGATGATGAGGAATTCAGAAGGTTAGAATTTGAGAGAACACAAAGAGTGGATGCACTTGCGCCATTGCAAACCATTTTGAGCCATGTCGTTCAACGTCTCTAACCATTGGTGACTATCGTCTCACGGACCCCAACCAGATAGCCTACATCTACCAACATGACTCAGTCCACTTGTCGTCAGTGACTTCATGGATTTCTGCCATGTTTTGGTCTGGCCGCCCCTAACTATCTTCCAGCCTACTCCTACATCACAAAACATCACTCATCGCGGCAGTCGTTGGTTAGCCATATGTAACACATGTCCCAACCACCTCAACGGATGACTTCTCACTACTTCATCTGCTTGATTTGTCATCCTTACCTAGAACTCGTTTCCTAATGACAGCATTGCTCCATAACATATTAGTTATACATGGATTACTACTATTAAGAACCCTTTTTATTTTTCAATCCTTCCTACTGAGATAATTGAATGAAATAAAATTCAAGGCTAGAAAAAAAGTACTTTTTGTATTGAATAATATTTTCATTTAAACAATCCGTTGATTTTTCACAATGTAAATCGGTTCATGACAACAACAGTAATTATGATCATGATAGTAGGGACAAGAACTTTTTGATTTATTTATCGAAACATATAGTTATTCGTACAAAGGGGTGCCCAAGTAATTATATGCCATACAGATCAGGGGATTTGTGCGTGTGTGTGTGTTGGGAATAATGTTCGGAGGTGCACAAAACAAGGTAGGTGGTTCTTTTAAGCGATGATTCTCCGAACCTACAGGTTTAATCTACAAGGCAATGGGGTAACGTTAGTAGATGCGGCCCCATGAATCCCGATTGTTGAAGGCGATTGATTTCCGCAAGATCCTGTAGCCCTGTGTGAACCATTGATTTGGAACTACGGTCATCATACGCATCAACTTAATTTCTGCATCGGACATTCGCTTTCTGTCCTCTCGGTTTCGTAAACAACACTTTTGATGCAAGAAGGTAGTAAGTAGGACTTCTGTAGCATTGGGTAAACACTCATGGTTGAGAGGGCGATAACCAAGTATTCAGTTGATCACTTTCTGAAAGTAATATACTACGCTTATTTTTATTCGTGTGTACATGTAACAATTATTGTATTTTCATCCCAATGTGAACTAGATATATTAAGTCCCGGATATGTTAGTCAGTTAAATATTAAACACACATTCATAGGGCGGGTAAATTAATGTCTAGAGTAGTTTTATGTCAATTCAAATCGGACCTATATACATTTTTTGGTAGTATAAAATACACCATTATGGTATAGAGTTGTTAACGAACTTGGGTTAGTCAGTCAGTCAGTAGCAACGTAGAACTTCGTTAGTACGTACTTACATCAGTTCAAGTTGCCGTACTACATGCGTGACCGGCCTCAAGCAGTTGTCCCTTGGACTGTGCGGTCACGCTCCCAGGTCTCCAAGACCAACACTAATCTACCTTCCTTTTCAGGTCCCTCAAGAAACAACCTTCCACGGTGTGGGCAGCCGGAAAGTGACAACCGCCCTCATACCCGTAACAGAACGAGAGACCAAATTGGTCGAAATTGGCGAGATTAGGGCACGAAGATATTCTTAAAGAAGTATAATCTGGTGAAAGAAAAACTTGATGATGAAATTCAGAAGTTTAGAATTTGAGAGAGAACACAAAGAGTGGATGCATCTATGCCATCGGTTACTATTGTCTCGAGGACCCTAACCAAGGTAGTCAACACTTACCAACACATGACTCAATCCACCTGGTTAGAAGATATTCCTAGGTTAATGGTTTTCGATCATAGGTGTCTTCGAAGCATTGCTCGTATATCCTGGGACACCCGAGTGAGCAACGCTGTTATTAGGAAACGGGTGCTAGGTAAGAATGACAGATCAATAGATGAAGTAATGAAACTTCATCAGTTGAGGTGGTTGGGACATGTGCTGCGTATGCCTAATCACCGACTGCCTCGAAGAGCTTTGTTTTGTAGTGTAGGAATAGGTTGGAAGAAAGCTAGGGGCGGCCAAACCAAAACATGGCAGAAATGCATGAAGTCATTGACAAGTGGATTGAGTCATGTTGGTAGATAGAGGCTACGTGGTTGAGGTCTGCGAGATGTTAGTAATCGATGGTTAGAGACCCCGAATCACATGGCGCAAAACTGTTTGCAATGGCGCCGGTGCATTTATTCTTTGTGTTCTCTCTCCCTCTCCGATTAATTCTAACACCTTAACTACCTCTACGACTATTGGATTTGAATTGAAAATTATATATCTGTGCTGATGTGGTATGGCAACATGAACTGACTGATGTACTTACGTACGAAGTTCTACGTTGCATCTGACTGACTGACTGACTCAATCCACCTGGCAATGAATGGCTTCATGAATTTGTGCGATGTTTTAGTTTGACCGCCTTAAACAAACTTAACTTGTTACACAGTGATTCAACACAATACATTCAGATATGTTTTTAATATTATAATACTGTTAGGATATTCATCCAATATCCTAAGAGAACTTATAGGTCGATTCCTATTGGTTAGTTTCTACTGGTCAATTTTATGATCGTCGTAGATATCAATGTCACATGCCCAATGTTGTTTCTTATTGGTCGTCCTGAATTTCAGTGTCACTACAAAGGTTGCTTCCTATTGGTCGTCTTAACTGCCAATGTCACAGACTTCGATGCTGTTTCCTATTCGAAAAAAATGTATAAATACGCATTATGTGTAGCGTTTTATGACCAGGACCAGTACCCGGTCTCGGATCCCTAGTCCGGGATCCTGATTCTCTTCTGGACTCGGACCTTGTACTTTCTGGATGCTTATAGAATGCAAGTTCTACTTCATATCATGTCTTCTTATATGAGGGTTGAGTTAATCGGATTTGAGTAGCATGTCGTGTCACCGGATCCTCGATCCTCGCTCTCGCTTTTCCGACTAAGGGGTAAACTCCTAATATAGTTCAAGCATATCAAGTTGGCGTGTTTACATGGAGGCGTAACAAATATCATTAGTAATTCACAGTGTTGGATTAGTTTTTTGTGTATTTAGTATTGTACTGTATTGTATTGTATTGTATCTTTTTTGACAGAGATGATATAAAACCTGGTACAGTTGAAGATGCTTTATCCATTTTAACATCACTGACAACAACAACCACATGCACACAATCACGTAGTTCGAGTCTAGTGTCTGGCACTTTGCAACATTCTTTGCCAGTTAATAAAGACACACTGTCATTATCAGGATCAATGCATACACCGAATTCTCATGCAACACATTATCTAGTCAATAATAAATCAAGTACCAGTCAACAATCATCCATCACTGCAACGCAGTCGAAACAATTGAAAAATAAGAAGAAGAAATGTCCTCCACCATCGAAACATATTGCAAAAATTGGTGCACAAGCTGAAGCGAAACATCGACAAACTGTTGTTAGTAGTAATAATAACAATAATAATAGTTCAAACAATTCAAATCTACATGATCCTATCGATACTGGTAAATTGTCTCGTTGTAAACGTGATGATATGGAAGCATTTTTATTCAATGATTCAGATGTTATTCATTTAGATACTGTTGATAAAGGTGAGTAGTATTATTAGTAGTAATAGTAGTGTTCAGTTTTAAGTCTTCCAATATTATTATTATTATTATTATTATTATTATTATTATTATTATTGTTATAGTTGTTTTTCCAAGCCAGAGTAAAACATATGTCACCCTGAGCAACAGTGCAAGCGGATGCGGTTTTCCCCCTCGAAATGCGAAATATTGCTCCAAGATGGAGTTTCATCGGCACCCGAACTAGTGATAGGGAGTGAAGTGTAGACCGTGTAGACCGCTTCATTTATCTTGGGAGTCTGATCAGTGCTGATGGCCTGGTGACTGACGAAATCTCCGCACGGATACGGAAGGCTCGATTGGGTTTTGCCAACCTGCGTCACCTATGGCGCAGGCGAGATATCCGTTTTCTAACCAAAGGACGATAGTAATGTGCAGCAGTTCGCTCCGTCCTACTGTACGGATGCGAGACTTGGCCGTTAAGAGTAGAGGACTTTCGCAGGTTACTAGTCTTCGATCACAGGTGTATCCGAAATATTGCTCATGTATTCTGGGACGACAGAGTAAGCAATGCTATCGTTAGAAAACGAGTACTAGGTAAGGGTGGCAAATCAATAGATGAAGTATTGAAACTTCAGTTGAGGTGGTTGGGACATGTGTTACGTATGGCTAACCACCGACTGCCTCGGCGAGCTTTGTTATGCAGTGTAGGAGTAGATTGGAAGGAAGATAGCGGTGACCAAACCAAAACATGGCAGAAATCCATGAAGTCATTGACAAGTGGACTGCATCATGTTGGTAGATGTAGGCTATCTGGTTGGGGTCCACGAGACGATAGTCACTGATGGTTAGAGACTTCGAATGACATGTCTCAAAACCGTTTACAATGGCGCAAGTGCATCCACTCTTTGTGTTCTCTCAAATTCTAACCTTCAGAGTTCCTCATCACCTTCATCTTTTTCTTTTTAAGTTTATTTCACTAGATTCTACTTCTTGAATATTATCTTTGAACTCTTCGATTACTGCTAATAGTTCTACTACCTCTATCACTATGGGATTTGAATTCACAATTGCATTTCTGTGCTAATGTGGTATGGGAACCTGAACTGATGTACGTACGTACGTACCTATATAAATTTCTATCAACAATTGTGAACGTCATTTCATTTCCTCAGTTTTTTTAATGGCCTAAATTGTATTCATCGTTAGGTTCATCATTTTTTGTGGCTGCATTGAACTCGAATTAGGGATCGTTCTATTTGGTGGCCCGTGTGAGCTAAGTCATTTAGTTAAGAATGATCAAGTCTGCGAAGAAATAAATCTCTACCTTCAGTTTCTGTATATCGTACTAAGGCGAATTCGGTTTGTGCGCTAGCGGTAATTAGAAGCCAGTCAGTCATTTAGTCATCTACAACGCATAGTAGAAGCCAAATACGAACTCGGTTAGATGAGTTTATTTCAAACTGTTGTTTATGCAGACGGGTAGGAGAATGCATAGCTTGAAAGCAAAGCGAAGCGAAGTGGAGAAGGCTGGTTAGCCAACTCAATTTAATGAGACATGGCTGAGAATTTATTGTCAGATAGACGGTAAGCAAAGTAAGCGTGCACTCATACTCTGGAATAAAAATGACCAAGATGTGAATGAATCATTGACAAGGTCAGAATCCGAGTAAATAATTACTGGGGAACAAGGGATTGATTAAATTGTCTACATGTTGGAGCAAGACCTGTGGGCTCAACATAAAAGTACACACACTATAGTCTCATTGGTTAAATTATGGTCTATTAGTTGACTTCAAAATAAAAACTGTCTCAAAGGATTTGATTTCGACCGATTTGGTCTGGTGTGCTGTTACGGGTATGAGGGTGGTTGTCACTTCCCGGCTGCCCACACCGTGGAAGGTTGTTTCTTGAGGGATCTGAAAAGGAAGATAGTTTAGTGTTGTTCTTGGAGACCTAGGAGCGTGACTGCAGAGCCCAAGGGACAACTGCTTGAGGCCAGTCATACACGGTCTTTTTATGAAGGGTTTTTTGAGTATTAGCTCCGCTCTTAAAGGCCCTTAGTGGGCACCGTTACCGCCGGAGACGGAAATCCGTGAGGTAGGGTGAGGTGCGACATTTTTAGGGTCAACCTTTTCTAACCCTTCCTTCCTTGTGAGAAGGCAGGATCGCTGCAGATGCTGGTTGTCCGAGGGAAACACCTTACTGCTGTCACACTACTCTGCAGTCAGCAGTACGACTTTGCCCTCAGACCTTGAGTATCTGCTTTTAGTCTCATCGTTCTCGAATCGACCAGCCTGGCATAGTAGAACCTACAGGAACATATGTTCCAGCCAATATAGCTCGGTTGGGTCATCACGATAGGCAAGCCCGACCACCACGTCAAGGTAGCAGCTACGGTTTTGACTTTCTAAACTTTTCTCACTGAATCATACTTCTTGAATGATATCTTCTAATCCTAACCATTAGGATTACTTCTAATACCTTTACTACCTCTACTACTATTGGATTTGAATTGACAATTATATCTCTGTGCTGATGTTGAGTAAATTAGTTTTTCCAATGAGTGTATATGCTTATTTGCTTACGTACTTACTTACTGTATACTCATACTACTGAATAACTGTTTAGGTAGATTTTCGATCAAACTCAGTGATTACATCACATCGCACAAACGTAGTAATACTAGCAAAATGAACAGATCTTCTAAGGCAACAGAAATGTCATACGTTTTAATCTGAAACTCTCTGACATCCATAATAAGTGAAAGCGCCTAACCACCGACTGCCGCGACGAGCTATGTTTTGTGGTGTAGGAGTAGATTAGAAGAAAGCTAAGAGTTGGCCAAACCAAAATATGGCAGAAATCCATGAAGTCACTGACAAGTGGACTGAGTCATGTTGGTAGATGTAGGCTACGTGGTTGGGGTCCGCGAGATGATAGTAACCGATGGTTGAGAGACCTTGAACGACATGGCTCAGAATCGTTTACAATGGCTCAGATGCATCCACTTGTTGCGCTCTATGAAATTCTAATCTTCTGAATTCGTCATCACCTCTACCTTTCTCTTTCTAAATTTACCTTCTCGAATTATATCTTCGAATCCTGATCTTCTCCATTACCGGTAATACTTCTACTGTCGCTATCACTATTGGATTTGAACTGACAGTTACGTCTCTGTGCTTATGTGGTATGGCAACCTGAACTGATGCACTTATGTACGAAGTTCTGCGTTGTATCTCTCTGTCTGTTTGTCTGAAAGCGCTCAATGCTTTTAGGTCATTAAACCACACAGTTTTAGTATATTTAGATTGTGGTTAACAGTAGAATTCAAAACGCATAATTCGTCGTGTTTTTGGAACTTGTCCAGTGGAAGCATCTGTATTCCAGTGTTGATATTCACACTGCTTTTGTTTCAAATGCCTACTACACATTGTCGACTAAACGCGCAGGTGCATCTATTCTTTATGTTCTCTCAAATTCTAATCTTCTGGATTCCTCATGACCGTTTTGTTTTAAAAATTGGCACTCAGGTCAATCAGCAATCAACAAACACATTGACATTGACCCAATTTATCAACCAATCAGGAAAATCATAGGTGACATAGGATCAAGAAACAGATCAAAAGGGGGGATACAATCAAAACAAAGGTGCAAGCAACGACAGGTTTAAGGTCAACAGAAACCAATCAAGATCGAGGTTAGCAGAACAAGCTACAGGTCAAACGTGGAGAAATTCGAATGCGCTTCACTTCTTCTATCTGAAGTTGTTCAGTAGGAGAACAGTAAAAGTTCCACAACCAAAACAACATCCAGCTCAGAGAACCAAACAACACCACCATAATTATCCGCCTGAGCTACAAATCTTCATCATCTCAAAAATTGACTCCTCTGATATATACTCTTCGAATGAAATCTTCGATCGCTATCCGTTTTGATTACTGCTAATACTTTTACTACCTCAACTACTATGGGATTTGAATTGACAATGCCGTCTCTGCGTGCTAATGTGGTATGGCAACCTGGACCGAGGTATGTTCGTACGAAGTTCTACGTTGTAGCTGACTGACTGACTACCTGTTGAAACCACACAGCCACTGACTTGCTTAATAGGTACAATATTTTTTTTCGAGAGTATGAATGATACCGTTGTTGAGATTCAAGGCCTAATTGTGACCAGTTCTTTTAACATATCTGTATTCCAAGCATGCTTTGATAGCGAGCGCATTGTCTTTCGCTTCAATAAGTACTGGGTTTGGATCTGAGTGTAAACTTCGTCATGGACACAAACGCATCCCTTATGCGAGAGAGAGAGAAAGGACAATTGACTTATTCTCGATTCCCTTTCACTTTCCACCAAACTTGAACGTTCTGAACTAGATTTGTGACTCTGTAACCATAAATTTGAATGAAACCTTCTAAGCAGAATACTTTTTGATTTTCATGTGTTTTTCTATTGAGTAGTTATACGCTTCATTTTGTTCTATCAACGTTGATTTGATCCTTACCATTTTTTGCTTTCTCCACCCCCTCCCTCCTCCCCACCCCCATCTGGTATTTCACATAAACAAGATAATATCCTACCTGAAGGTGGACGTAATCGTGAACGTGTTATCGAAAAGGAGGTGAATGCTCGAAAAGCAGCCGCTGTCGATATTGCTAAACAACGTCAAGACAATTTAGAACAACGTAAACAACAACAAGAAAAAGCTGATCAACGTCGTCAAACCGCCAATAAAAGAGCACAAAAAGTGGAAAAACGTCGATTATAAATAACTCAAATTGTGTCATATCAACTATGTGATCTTTCGCTCTTTCTTAACTGACTCACAAACAGATGAGATGAGATGAAATTGTGTATAATTATGTGTATTTTTTTCCATCCATGTTGAATAATTTCTTGACAATCTGACTACTTTGTTTGTTTGTCTTTACTTTCCTTGTCTTCTCGTCTGTTTTCTTCAATGATTTGCCTACTTAGTCGAGTTTCTCACTCTCTCGCTCTGTCTCTCGGTTCACTTACATTGTTGGAGTTTCAGATGTATAGTTAGTAAGTAGTATTGTACATGTATATATATATACCTCTATTGTATTATGTGTATATGAGAGTTTCTTTTCGGACACTTGCCGCTATCTTATAATTTCAACTTACTGACTAAATGATTTAATTTATGTGTGTGAAATTATGAAATAATATATATATATATATATATATATATATATATCGAAAGTGATCCAATAACTTCGTGAACTCGCATTGTTTGCATTAGCAGTGTAGTGTGACGAAAGAATGTGAGTACAGTTAGTTGTGGAGATAAGGGGAGACATGTTATGGGGTGTAGAAAGGATTTGTTTGTGACCAATTTGGTCTCGTGTGCTGTTACGGGTATGAGGGTGGTTGTCACTTCCCGGCTGCCCACACCGTGGAAGGTTGTTTCTTGAGAGACCTGAAAAGGAAGATAGATTAGTATTGGTCTTGGAGACCTGGGTGCGTTACCTCAGAGCCCCACAGACAACTGATTGAGGCCGATCACGCACGGCTTTTTTACGCAGGGCTTTTTGAGTATTAGCTGCGCTCTCGAAAGCCCTTAATGGGCAGCCCTTACCGACAGAGACGGAAATCCGTGAGGTAGGGTGAGGTGTGACATTTTTAGGGTCGACCTTTTCTAACCCTCCCTTCTTTGTGAGAAGGCAGCATCGCTGCAGGTGCTGGTTGTCCGAGGGAAACATCTTACTGCTGTCACACCCCTCTACAGTACGACTTCGCCGTCAGACCTTGAGTATCTGCTTTTAGTCTGATCGTTCTCCAATCGACCTGCCTGGCATGGTAGATTAGTGTCGGTCTTAGAGAACTTGAACGGCTTGGCTCAGAATCGTTTAAAATGGCCACAGGTGCATCCATTCTTTGTGTTCTCTCAAAATTCTAACCTTCTGAATTCTTCATCATCTCTATCTTTCTCCTTCTAAATTTATCTCACTGACTTATACTTCGTTCCCTAATCTTCTCCATTGCTGCTAATAATTCTACTATAGCTATCACTCTTGGATTTGAAATGACAGTTACGTCTTTGTGCTGACGTGGTATGGCAACCTGAACTGATGTACTTATGTACGAAGTTCTGCGTTGTATCTGTCTGTCTGTCTGATCAATAAAGCAATTCATTCACATTTCAATGTTTGTATATTGAGACTGTCGGAGTTTTTTTTATGATCTGACCTTCCCACTTGGTAAGATTGACACTGTAAACTAGTCATACAAGTATTGTGAACTCCACCGACGAAGTTAGCTCTTGAACGGAGACTGTACAGTTTTGATAAGAGGAGTGATCACTGACCAAGTATCTATGAATTTAGTGCTGTCAGAGGGCAAAAGCGATTCATATAAGTCGCTTCTGAGCGAATTCGCCGATTTGACAAGGGTGTCGTCATACGACAGCAACACCACATTGTAACAAAACACGCACCTTGTAACGCAAGACCACGAAGGCTAGAAAGGCTAAAAATAGCGAAACAAGAATTTGACAGATTGATGAAACTTGGTATAATGTCGCTTTCTAGAAGTTCTTGGGCATCTCCGTTGAACATGGTACAAAAAAAATAATGGGCGAATCAAACCATATGGAGACTATAGAGCCCTTGATAAACAAGCTCTAGCAGATATATATCCGGTACCACACACCCACGACATTTCTTACTAACGAGATGGAATGTGG